GAATCGAACAATTGCTTTGAACGATATTGTTATAGTTATAGTTGTAGCCTTCCTACTGTTAAACAATATTGTTCCATTGGTGCTTTCATTGAACTTCCATGGCGGCTGAGGGCACTCGTTTGAAGGAACTGCAGACGGAAATTCGTACACATACGGAAGATATCCGCCGAATCGGCCAAACAATGGATCTACGCTATCAGGAACAAAATGATAAGATGTTGCAGATTCAGACATCTATGGAGCAGATCCAATTGGCTATAAATCAATTGCTACAAAGTGCTTCTCAAACACATGGGAGTTCTACGAGCTCTGGGTCTCGAATTGTTTCCCCGATCACATCTCCAGTTCCTATTAAGGAGCTTTCTCTGGGATTTCCCCATTTTGATGGCACGACACCAGTAATGGAATGGATTTTCAAGGCAGAAAAATTCTTCTCTTACCACAATACTCCGGATGCTTCTCGAGTTGATATAGCTGCAATGCACTTCGACAAGGATGTTGTGGCTTGGTTTCAAATGTCTCAGAAATTAGCTATAGTATCTACATGGACAGAGCTGACTCGCGCCTTGGAATCACAATTTGGCCCTTCCCTGTTTGATTGTCCAATGTCTGAGTTATTTAAACTGCAACAAACAGGTTCGGTATCCGATTATTACCTCCAATTTACATCTCTAGCTAATAGATCACTGGGATTGAGTGAGGAGGCTCTTCGTAAATGTTTTATCAGTGGGTTACATCACGATTTAAGAAGAGATGTTATTGCTATGGGTCCCCTAACCTTGACGCGTGCAGTTGCTCTAGCTAAACTCTATGAAGATAAACATTGTCCTGTTCCCATGCCTATTAGACAGGTTTCTACCCCAAAATACTCTCCTGTCAATTATATGCCAGTCCCTAATTTTAACCAGCCAAAACCACAAGCCAAATCAGGGTTGCCTCCACTTTTACCTACCCCACCCGGACCTCCATTAAGAAACCCCAGTGTTAAAAAGATTACTCCCGCTGAAATGCAATTGAGACGTGAAAAAGGCTTGTGTTATTTCTGTGATGAGAAATTCTCTTTTAATCATAAATGTCTTAATAAGCAAGCTTTATTATTACAAATTGAAGAGGATAATAATGAAGAGTCAGGTACTTTTGTGGTGTCTCAAGATCCTCAGGAAGTTGAGAAAGCTGAATATACAGATCATCATTTATCATTAAATGCCTTGAAAGGTGGAATGGGAGCAGGGACCATCAGATTCGTTGCTTATATTGATAAATTGCCTATAACTGTTTTGTTGGATAGTGGCAGCTCTGACAATTTTTTGCAACCCCGAGTGGCAAAGTTTTTAAAACTTCCGGTCGAACCAGCTCCTCATTTTCAAGTAATGGTTGGCAACGGAAACTACATGACTTCTGAAGGAGTGGTTAAGGATTTGAAGGTCCACGCTCAGGGTAATATGTTTCGTTTACAGGCATTTTTGCTTCCTATCTCTGGGGCTGATCTCATTTTTGGAGCTAGTTGGCTGAAGTCTATTGGTTCTCATATTGCGGATTATAATGCCTTGCAACTTAAATTTATCTGGAATGATAAATTCATTACCCTACAAGGGGATGGTGCTTTAGTTCCAGAACAAGCTCAATTACATCAAATACGGCGAATGGTAGACACTAATTCTATTCCTGAAGTTTATTTGTTACAGATGGAGGAGACCGAGGTTGTTCATGAGTCGGCACTAGATTTACCTGATACTATGGATCCTGCACTGGCTTGTTTATTGCACACTTACCAGAATGTTTTTGAAGCGCCTACCAGTTTACCTCCTCCACGATCTCATGATCATTCTATTCCCTTAATGGACGGGTCACAACCTGTGAAGGTTAAACCTTACAGATATCCCCATAGTCAAAAAGAAGAAATTGAGAAATTGGTCTCAGTGATGCTGACAGAAGGGATTATTCAGCCAAGTAAGAGTCCATTTTCTTCTCCTATTATCTTGGTAAAAAAGAAAGATGGGTCATGGAGAGTATGTACGGACTATAGGGCTTTGAACGCTATTACTATCAAGGATAGTTTTCCTATTCCTACGGTGGATGAACTGATTGATGAACTTTTTGGAGCTTCATTTTTTTCTAAGCTTGATTTAAGGTCTGGTTATCATCAAATATTGCTTAACCCTGAAGATAGACACAAGACAGCATTTCGGACTCATCACGGTCATTATGAATGGTTGGTTATGCCTTTCGGATTGACTAATGCACCTGCCACCTTTCAAAGTCTTATGAATGAAATCTTTGCGGGGCTGTTAAGAAAATTTGTCTTGGTATTCTTTGATGACATTCTCGTGTACAGTGCTACTTGGAAAGATCATTTACATCATTTGCAAGTGGTTTTGGGCATCTTAAAACAACATCAATTATTTGCCAAATTTTCTAAGTGTTGTTTTGGAGTTCAGCAAATTGATTATTTGGGACACACTCTTTCTGGCTCAGGTGTCGCTATGGATACCAACAAATTAGAAGCTGTCCAACAGTGGCCTGAACCTCATTCAATAAAACAGTTGCGAGGATTTCTTGGTCTCACGGGTTATTACCGAAGATTTGTCAAATCCTATGCTAGCATTGCAGCCCCCTTAACGGATTTATTAAAGAAAGATTCTTTCAAATGGACTTCGACTGCAGCTGAAGCATTTCAGCGACTTAAGATAGCTATGACATCTGCACCGGTGTTGGCTATTCCCAATTTCAAGGAGATATTTGTACTAGAAACTGATGCTTCAGGGAATGGAGTGGGTGCAGTCCTAAGCCAGAATAAGCATCCGATTGCTTACTTTTCAAAAAAGTTGTCCTTAAAAATGCAAAAACAATCTGCCTATGTAAGAGAATTTTATGCTATAACCGAGGCTTTAGCCAAATTCAGACACTACCTTTTGGGCCACAAGTTCGTAATTAAAACAGATCAGAAGAGTCTTAAAGAGTTGCTTGAACAACGCCTGCAAACTCCAGAACAACAGCAATGGCTTCCTAAATTTCTAGGCTATGACTTTACGATTCAATATAAACCTGGGAGTGAAAATATACCGGCTGATGCCTTATCCAGAAGCTTTTTGATGTCAATTTCAGTTCCTATTCACTCATGGATTAACACGGTAATTGACTCAACTCAGAGCGACCCAACATTATCCAAGATTTATCAAGAATGTTTGCAGGGTCAATCTTCCAAATCTGAATATAAGATTCAGAATGGGTTAGTGTTATTCAAAGATAAAATAATGCTACCCTTGGATCGGGAGTTGTTGTACCAGATTATGCATGAATTTCATAATACCAAGATTGGCGGGCATTCAGGGATTAACCGCACATTGGCTCGAATAGCTGCACAGTTTTATTGGGAGGGTATGCGAAAGGATATTCATCAATTTGTCCGTGAATGCGCTATCTGTCAGCAAGCCAAGACTGATCACGCGTTACCAGCAGGGCTGTTACAGCCCCTTCCTATTCCTCAACAAATATGGGAGGATATAGCGATGGATTTTATTGTGCAATTACCTTCTTCCCAAGGTTTTACAACTATTATGGTGGTTATTGATAGACTATCCAAGTTTGGTTATTTTATTCCGCTAAAATCCGAGTTCAATAGCAAAATGGTGGCTGAAGCTTTCATCTTTAACATCATTAAGATACACGGGTTCCCTAAAACCATTGTCTCTGATAGAGACAGAATTTTTATTAGCAGCTTCTGGCAACATTTATTCAAAGCTCAAGGAACAACACTCGCCATGAGCTCCTCTTATCACCCTCAGTCCGATGGCCAGACTGAGAACCTAAATAAAACTCTCGAGATGTATCTTAGGTGTTTTGTCTTTGAAAATCCTAAGCAATGGGTGACTATGCTTCCTTGGGCCCAATTCTGGTATAACACTTCCTTCCATCAAAGCTTGGGTATGACACCATTTCAAGCTGTTTTTGGCAGGCTTCCACCAAGTATACTGCGCTATGAGAATGATCCGAAGGATAACAGATCTGTTAAGGAATTATTACAGCAGCGGGATCAGCTTTTAGCTAAACTCAAAGCCCAGTTATCTCGAGCTCAACAATACATGAAAATGCAAACTGACAAAAAACGCAGGGAATTACAATTTCAGGTGGGTCAGTTGGTTCTGGTCAAGCTGCAGCCTTATAGGCAGCATTCATTAAGTTTGAGGAAGAACCAAAAATTGGGTATGCGTTATTTTGGTCCCTTTCCGATCATTGAGAAAATCGGCTCAGTTGCTTATAAATTACAGCTCCCTCAATCTGCCAAAATACATCCGGTATTTCATATTGCTCTTTTAAAACCATTCCATGGATCAACCAATCAACCGTATCTTCCGTTTCCAATAACATCTAATGAGCTAGGTCCAGTGATTAGCCCCTGCAAAGTGTTGGATGTCCGTGTTGTGAAGCGTTTAGAGACTTTGGTGTCTCAATTGTTGATTCAGTGGGAAGCAACTACTGCCAAGGATGCAACATGGGAAGACTTACAAGACATCCGAGAATCTTATCCTCAGTTCAACCTTGAGGACAAGGTTGTTTTTGATGCGGAGGGTAATGTAACATGTGTACGGAGGATGGAGAGGTCTGTTAGTAATCAGGGACACGTGGCACACGATCCTCAACAAATGGGAGTTAGGCACAACTCTCGGGTGATGAAAGAGAATATAAGGCTGAAAGATTACGCAATGGGGTCAAGTTGGAGGTGACACTAGTGTAAAATATGCATTCTACAACTAGGATTTAATGTGGGTTTAACTTTAACTGTTATTGTATAGTAAAACGGGGTGAAATTCACAATTAATATAAATTTGATATTGGCAGATGGGTCAAATTTGTGAAATCCAAAATTCGCCCATAACGGTTGTTAAAAACAACCCATACGAAAAGGAAAAACGGGGTCGTATTTACAATTTTCCTAAAATTAGATCTGGTTCGGAGTCATTATTGTAATTAACAGAAATATGTTTTCATATCCGTTCTATTCTAACCCTTATCGATAGTTTTCAAAATTTTTAATTAAAGTGGCGTGCCTTTGGAAACGAAAGAGAAGGGCGACCGCCCCACGCTAGACTCGAAAACAGAAGAGAAAGCGAAGCCGACTTTGCCCTAGCCTTTCGCTCCTCCACCTCTGGCACAACGTCGCAACTCGCAAGTTATCACCAGGCTCGCCAAGCTCGCACCTCAGCTATTCAATCGCAGTGGCCAAACTTCCGACCTCGATCTCGAGCACTAAAGCCTAACGACTAAAGTGCCAAGCCGCTCGCTCCTCCTCTGTTTCCAGGCGAATTGAACTAGCAGTTTCGTTATCCCTTATTGAATTTATCAGCCTAATGGTTTATCTATTGATTGATGGTATGTTTTCTTCTTCTTCTTAGCTTTTAACCTAATATTTCTAACTTAATCTGCAATTTGTATTGTTCTTTGCTTGATTTGTATTATTGCTGCTAAAATTCACGGCTCTTGCTGAATTTTTTATAATTTGTATTTTTATGCTCTTTGCTACACAATTCCCTCGTTTCTTAGTTTGATACTTTGAAATAACAATTTTTTAGTTTGATTCTGAAGCTGTGTGTTTAGGCAGTTTGGTTAGAATACCAGCTAATACCAAAAATATGTGTAAATAACTTTCAGGATATAGGTGGGAATAAGACGTTTACTGTGCCCAAATTTCCCAGCTAATGATGGTGAAGAAACCATTCACATCTCCTCTTTGCTCCAAACAGGCAACCACTTCTTCAGCGAATACATATGTAGTCTCTCTTTTCCTACAAAGAGTCTGGTTTGGCCATACTTGCATATTATTTAAAAGTTATTCTGATATTTTAATTACATATGTGATATATCTATTTTAAATTAAACTTGTTCACTACTAGATTTGGGAAATTGCTTTATTTTTCCAAACCTGATTCCTTTGAGAGAATAAGACTTTTGAAACAGGACTCTTGTAATGGGACTGATTGAATTTTTTTGCATTGAAAAACAGAAGCCTTTATTTAGAAAATCCATGTTTGTGTTTCACATTAATTAATCCCAATTGTTATGTTCTCTTTAAGGGATTTAAGTTATTCTGAGTTACCTTTGCTCCTTTATTTTCAGGTCAGTTACCCCAATATTTATCATATACTCTCAGCATTGGAGCTGAAATATTTGATGGTTCAAGTGCAAATGTTACTATATATTGTCACTGAACCTGTTATGCTACTCTCTTATATGCCACTCTCCGAAAAGCTCAAAAAATTGGGTTTCGTTACTTACTCAAACTCTCAAAGGTTTGACTTATAGTATTTTATAGCACTTGGACCAATTTATCAACTATTGTGATTGTTTAGCTTTATACTTTGCTAATTGAGCTAGAATTCCAATCTAGCGATTTCTTCTCACGAATAGGAAAGCATAGAAACTCAAATTTTCCATTGCAGGTGTCTTCAGGATCAAACTTATTATTCAAAGTGCAGTGAACCATTTTTTCAAAATAAGCCCAAATGGAAGTATGTGGGTGTGCACCAATATTATATTTATGAAAATTCAATCCCTTATTTATCAAGAATTATATTTACAAATAGATAGAGGTTGAAATCTTTTTGGAAAGTTTCTGTGCTAATACTCTTCATCCGTTTATCATTAAGGTCCTTATTCCAATATTGAAGAAGAAAGTTAGGATCCAGTAACCTGGACTAAAACATAACCTGGACTAAAACTTAACCTGGACTACTAATGAGTAACGACTTCTTCTCTTGTTAGAGGAAGCTCTGGTTCAGATGGTAAAGGGTAGAGAAGATAAATAATGAGAGTGAGAGACAGTTGGTTTAATGGTGTTTGGTTTTACGGTCTTTTGTGACCTTCGTTGAAAGTTTGGATTATTAGGCGAGGATGTAACCTACTATTGTTTCTTGAATAATTGCTCTAATATATGTGAAATGTTTAAAATATGTAACATAACTATTGTTGTATGTGTCTGACTGTTGTGTTATCTATTATAGTATCTGTCGTACTCTCATAAGTTTTGTGATTGTTTTACATTTGCCTTAGATAATACATAGTCGATAATACTCCGTCTCCATAGATACTATGCTTTATGTTAAAAAAGTGACCTTTTTTAAAAGACAATTCTTAAAGACATATTTTTTATCTTATGTTTTTACTTATTGTATTTCTTTTACTTCAATTGTATACTAATTTGTTTAATTTCATTATATAATAACTTGTAGGCATTCAACATCCAAAATTCATTTACTGAAGGAAGAAATCAATGGGACACTGGAGAAAGCAATGAGCATCATTTTTTTGTGAAGCTATGACATAATTTGTACTATGTTGTCAAGTTGTACACAAATTTTGTTGAGGCCTGAGGGTGTTCAAAATAAAAAATATTTGTATACACTGTACTTTTATTAATTATAATTAATAATATGTTGTTGATATCATCTTAGTTGGAATTTTTGTTAACGTGAACTGCAGCCTAAAAAATAGGAATAAAAAATTGATTAGTACTAGCATTTTGATAAGAGGGGTAGTAGTTGTTAGGAAATGTATAACATTTAATATGGGTTGCAATAACCCATACGGATAGTCTTTCATAGCGGTTACTTTTCACCTGCCATTAAAATTTTTTGGTAACGGTTCAAACTCGCCCATCATTAAAACTTTCCATAATGGTTATACGAACCCTTATTAAATGTACCGGACTTTTAATATGTGCTGATACAGTAACGGTTCAGAACCGTTATTAAAAGTCTGTTTTAACCGTTATTAAATCCCTGTTTTCCACTAGTGTGAAGAATTGATGTGCCGTCCAAATAAGAGATGAAGTCCCAAGCTGCTGCGTTTCTTTATCCGTTGTTTTCTTCTAATAATTGAGACTTTTTTTATCAGACAATTATAGTTGTAAAAGCTTGGTTGAATCGAACAATTGCTTTGAACGATATTGTTATAGTTATAGTTGTAGCCTTCCTACTGTTAAACAATATTGTTCCAACGTGTATTTATGTTATTTAATCCATTGCGTATGTGATCGTAACACGTTGTAAGTTCATTATACTATTTTGATATACCAGAATGTTGTCATAATATATACTCATATTTACCAATTAGTGAACATAACATGATTTGTTCATCGGTAAATAATCTGTTAAAATATTCTATATTTTTAGACAAAATATTGGCTAATTGTATGAGTACTTATTAATGAGGCTGATTGCGAAGGGTGTCACCAACATGGATTAAATAAAGTCCTATATGCCCTGTTAAAAATATAGAATTATAACAATGCCTTCGTAAATGAGAATTATGAAGACATTGTATATATTATTAATAAACATATATGGATAACGGTATAATCAATTCACTTAAAGCGGAATTAATGGGAATCCGTTTTTACCACTCATAAAATTTGGGTCCAGCTAAATTAATGTCAAAATCGTCCAGTTACTTAAACACAATATATATATAGAGTCTTCAAGTCTACAGCTAGCCAAAGTTGATTTAGTAAGCCTGGAAATAGTGAAGACTTGAGTCGTGAATGAGAATTGTTTATTTTTTCTAAATATGACTTAAATTATACTATGAATTGGTTAATAGGTATTAACCAATTCAAATAAAGTCCAACCGATAGTGTCACATACTAAATCCGATTCTAAGTGTACTAAATATATACGTACACCCATGTATCTAAGTTTCGATATGAGATCACATCTCTAATAGGCTAATATGTATTAGGTATGATTCCTAAATATCTATTAGGTAGATTCCTAATTATATTAGCCTATTAATCTCATCCGAAGGTGTAAGTATTCATATTTGAATACTTACAGTGAGATCACGAAGATACCGGTAAATTTGGGTTAGAAATGGAATCAGTAGTTGTATGTTTTAAATATACTACATGTTTTAATATTTAGTAAATTTCGACCAAACATTGCAACTCGAATTGAGATCATACCTCGATTCTAATTGATGAACATCATTCCCATGGTCGTAATTGGCAATGTTTCCCAATAGGTAAACATTGCCAATTACGAATCAGTGAAGACTTACTTAAACAAAACTTGTTTCATTCGAGTAATCCCATATTACTTGCTATACACAGCTATAGAAAGGACTATAGCTGTGTAATAGCGTACGACTTATATATAGAATGATCACCAAAATATGGGACTAACTGTAGTAATTGTCTTGAATAATAAGTATGTTGAATTATTTCGTAGGAAATACCACTTGAGTGGAAATTAACACAGTCCATACAAATCCATATGTGTCACCCAAGATCGGTCATTAAATTGTATACTTAGTAGTCAATTTGATCACATTGGACTTTTAGAGTATGGGAATATAGGTTACTATATTCTACACATGCAAAATATTTTGATTAATAAGTTTGTAATAAAAAACACAATATGGTTATAAATGTTGTCTTATTTCAAAAATAAGACAACATACAAGGGAATTAAAATATGATACTAGATTAATGATCTCATATAATCTAACACATGTCGAGTGTATGACATCGTCTATGATGTAGTATTTACGACATTCATAAATGGACTTGACTGTTAAAGACAGTATACTCACGTGTCCATTATTATAACTCACTTGTATTCCCATAAGCCAATCTCATTTAATACTAATTAATATGTTCCAATTTCGTATTGCAAAATTGAGTATAATATATATGATCTGACTATATGATTAACATATGCGTGTATTAAATGAGAGTTGGTGATACCCCTACTTATAACCATCTGGTTATAATTGTTTTGAATATTTCGTTGTCATCTGATCCTGATGACAGGATGAGATGACATCAACCATATTCGTGTTCCCATAGTCGTTCCTTTAAACATAGTATTATACTATGTACAAAGATTTTGTGGGTTCCTATATAATTTCAAATAGTAGGAAATTAGATTAATGATTAGGATATCTCAGTTACATTTGATGTTCGAACATCTATTGATTGTAATACAATTTAGATGTCGTAGGTTATGTGGTTTTGGACTCAAATAATAAATTCAACATATAATGGATACACGTTATTTGCTAAGGTGAATACTCACATTTAAAATAAGAGAGATTTAGCTAAATAGGACTAAAACAAGGTTGAATTGCAAAAATAGGAGATAATGTTTTAAATCCTCTTAATAGGACTAATTATTTGTATTTGGACAAAATAGCCCTCTTAGTTGCGTCGCTAGCGCTCTGGAGACTCGCTAGGTGCGTCACTAGCACTCTGGAGAGTCTGCCCAGGTAAGTTTCTTCATCTTTTTCTTCTTCTTCTCCTCCTCCTCCTCCTCCTCCTCCTCCTCCTCCTCCTCCTCCTCTTCTTCTTCTTCTTCCTAGTTCTCTTTTTTTTATCAATCAAATTTTAAATAAAATTTTGAATTTTGAAAGTTTCAAATGAAGATGTATCTGAACTTGAAATTGTTGTTATCAATTTTGATTAAATTGAATCTCAAAATGTCCTGACTAATGATTCCAGAAAATGTCACTTTTTTATTAAGAGAATGTCATAATTATTGGGTATTTTTAAAAAATGTCACTTTTATGTCATTACAGTATTTGAAAATGTCATATTGGGAATGTCATGTTTCTATACGAAATTGACATTATTGTGTCACTATTGGTTATTTTTAAATAATGTCACTTTTATGTCATTACAACATTTGGAAATGTCATATTGAGAATGCCATTATTGTGTATGCATATATTAAGTGACATGTTTTATGTCACTTTTGCTAGGGTGACAGTTTCAAAGAAGAAAATGACATTTGCAAAAAAAAATGTCATTTCCATGACATTTTCGAAACAGATTTGACATTTTCAGATTGTCATACTGATAAATGTACTGCCACATACGTGACATTTTGTTTTTCAAGTAATCAATAATTTTGTCAAACTCAGATTATAAAAGTGTCATTTTCCTGAATAAATAAAATTCAAATCCAAAAAATCCAAAGAAAAAAAAAAGAGAACACCGGACCAGAAATAATTTGAAGACGATTAGAAGTAGAAGAAGAGGAGAAAAAAGAAGAGGACCTACCTTGGATGAAATAGAAACATGCTCTTCGTTCCCAATATGGGAGGAAGCATACAAAATCATACACAGGCTCTATTGTAGTGACCAAAGCATCATTTAGATCAACAAATAGGAGAAGCCCTATCATAGGCCTAACTCTGTGAGGCATCTTGAATCAGTTGTTACGGCTTTGAAATATGGACAAGCAAACCTAGGAATGATAAATCGGATGTCTGAATACGAGTTCAAATGCTCCGTATAGATTAAATGCAGGTTGCGATCGATGGGAGAAGAAGATCGATTGAGAAATTGCAGGTCGCCGACTTCTGGGTCTGCAGTTTGGTTTAATTAAGTAAAGGGTAAAATTGTAATCCGGAATCCTATTTAGGCAATAATAAACTTGTAGTCCTAATTATGAGTTTAGACTATGTTTTAGTCTTATTTAGGTCAATTTCTTTTAAAATAACCGAGTCATTATGCCGTATAGGATATAATAACCGAATCATGAATACAATTAGGATTTGTGGACATTTCATAGTAAATAATCACGTACATATTTAGGATTACAACCTTGTATGTACCGAATTAGTTATCCATCTATGAATAATTAAAAATAATATTTTGGAGACTTATTACTTATGTCCATTCTTCAACCGGGTATCATATGACGGTACCCTTGAGAATTCACATATTCATTTTCCACAACCTATCACATACAAGAATATGTGATGAACTATTCTTGTTGGCATGATTCCATCTAATGATTATTACTATGAATATCCATGTACATTCATGAAAATGTGCTTTGAAGAATGACATATTAATTGATAATCCATGTATTATACATAAGATGAAACAATAGAATATTTGGTGTACAATAATCAACAGGGATTATAATGTGCACATATAATCCGAAGTATAGCCGTTGTATGATAGTTCCATAGGTAACGGTATGGAACTATCATACAACGTATATGTTTTCGTTAAGTATAGGGTACAACAAAGTGAATTAACAATGAACACATTATATCGTTGGCTTATAGGGACCATTATAAGTGGATACCATTAGGTTTACATTTTAAATATATAATCATCGATTATAATTACTATCATGAAACCATTTTCAAGTCCTATTAATTTTATGACCCTAAAATTAATACAACCGTTATATTTGATCGAATCGTATATACGGTGAATTGTAGGATACCGTAATAACTATTACGGTATCAATTTACTAGGTCTTCACTGTCATACAATGTGGTCTCAGGGATGATTCTTTGTAGTATTATACCCATACATATTGTTATGTATGGGTACTTCATTTTGTATAGAAAATCCCTAATGATTATCACTAGGCCAAACCACAATATAACCTATATCAAATGTATGTGGGTTCGTAATTAGTACACGCCATTTAATCACCATTAGTATTTAAATTACCAGGCGCAAGGTTTGTTATCTAATA